GAACGAGAAAAACAAGAAACTCTTTGAACTGCTGGATTTACTGGAATTCAACCAGGTACTGAAATTTCGCGTTCGTTGCCTTTAGCCTTATGTTTACTGGTGGAAGAGCTGCATAGTCTTTATGTCGACTTGGCCTTATATCTTGGCTGTAATGCCTTATGAAGTCAGAAGATCATCTTGTTCGATTGAGTAATTCCTGCGCAATTTATTAGCGCACCATTCAGTTAAATTAAACGTATTTAAACATTGAGTTATATTCATTTCTGCTGCCGTATGCTTGTTGCAATATCTCAATAAATTATTTACGATGCTACAAATTGGCTCTACTGGATGGCTCTTTTTCTACAATCTGCAGTATTTGGTACAAGGGTAATTTAAATGGGCTTCATGTATTGTCCAGGTGCGTGTACATTGTATACTGGAGCGCTAAATCCTAAGAAAACAACTGCCGGAGTAAAGTCATTTGGGTTTCTCGGCATTTCTGACGTTTTTTTCGATGTACTATAGACTGTTTCCTTCTTGCCCTGAGCATTATGCCTTGTTAAGCTAAACCACATGTTGGTAATTGTTCTATTTGTGCTGTGCTTCTAAAAATTTGATAAACTAAACGTGAATAATTTTATATTTGGGCTACGTTAAATCTCCAACTTTCCTTAGTTCTTCACTGATTGACATTGTAATTAAACATCAGTTTCAGAAATTCCCAGAAAATGATAAGAAAACGTCAGTTAGAGCTTCAGTTTGTTTTTCTAAGCATTCACTGTTTAGATTTTTTGGGTCTGCATTTGTACGATAAATTCAGTTTGGTGAATCTCGAGAGATATCAGATCTGGTCGAAAGAAAGAAGGCAGTAAAATATCGAGATATTGCCTAGGTTAATGTTTCCCTAACTTTTTTGATAGTTGCTTTGAGTAAATCTTTTCTCAAACTGTCGACCAAAGGAGCTAGTACGTGAAGTAATATTGCCTATTATTTTTACACACATCGTTTGAATTAGTTTAAATAGCTAAAACTGCATTTCAGTAATTTTTTAATCAACAAGCTTAGACGAACTTTTGCCGAAAATTTATTTCCGAGACATCCTGTTACCCGCATAAACATCCCCGCGACGTTCTTTTGGATCACAACTTTTGGTTTGGGAACTTCTGACGTACAATCCACCGTATAATCGCTTGGTATGGCTGCATCCTACATAAGCGTTTCAAAGAACCAGCTGCCAAAAATCTACTGCATTTTTTTGTCATTATTTTCATTCCATTCTCCTAGGTAAAAAGGCAACCAGCAAATTGCTTAAGAACGTTTGGTGGTAAGGTGCGAGACGTAGAGAAATGAAGCATTCAGTGCATAACAATACACTTGGCGTCGTTTGTGATAGGAACAATTACTGAAAAATTTTTTTGATGCGAGAACATGTGAGATTTTTGTATATCAGTGGGATCGAGTTTGATTGGAGTTCGTAGCAGCTTGGAGTCAGTTGATAAAGCTCGGTGATACGTTCGCTTTTACTAATGAGGCTCAGCGATTCGGTGTTGCGCCAGCACGTGGGCAGGAAACGGTATGTTATGTCACTTTTCTGGAAAATCCACTCCCATTTATATAGAAGAATTTCGCGTATTTAGGCATACGATGCATCCATTAATCCAGCAACCAATGACCGTTAAGTTCATAGGTTTAACCTGACACAAAAAACACGTAATACACGGAAAATACCTGCTCGTGACAGTGACAGACATTCACTGAAAGGCAATGGCACACAGCAGTGAATAGGATTTCACGAGCAGTGAAACGCGACCTATCGTCCTCCCTTCGCTGCCTAAAAGACAAGAGAGAAGCAATTTCTTTCAAGCTCATAGAGATTAAACTGTCGTATCAGTTAAAATATTGCAATATAGATACTGTAATAACTCACTTCCGAAATTTATAACAACAAAATGCTAGAATATTCGAAAATATTTTCCGGCTTGCAGCATATCATTCTGGAAAGCTAGGCTGATTGGTATGAAATGTCAGACAGCGGAAAAGCTTGGAAAGAAGTAAGAAATCTAGTGGTGAATTTTTGTTTGCTAAGCGCAGTAAGATAAGTTGATAAAGATATTTCGACAGTTGTTTGTTTTTAATGTTTGAAGCTTTTCTCGAGAAAGTTTGTAAGTAAACATGCTTTGGTTAGAAAGACAGAACTTGCATGTCGAATAAAATTCGTTTGCAGAATGTTTTAATATTTTTTATCTTTGAAACTTAGCAAATCTCATCTAGGCGTTAAACAAATCCTAATGTTATGTATTCATCTTTAAGCCCAGTGCCATTTCGCTGAATTCAAATAAACAACAGTAATAAACTTTATATATCTGTGCTCTGATTGTTTATTTGTATGATAATGAGTGTTAAGCCGTGAATGAAAATTAGCACAATTGGTTTATCCATGGTTTTTTAATTATTTCGTTTAGTTTTATTAAGCAGCCGGTTATTCACGTAACAACTCCCCCAAGACCACCTTTCGACGTACTAACATACTCTAATGTTTATGCTGCAACATATTAGCAGTACCAGCTCATGAAGCGTAGTTACTGATAAACACGGAGTAGCATTAGTACTGCAGGTGCTCAAAATGGCTAACCCCGTCCTTCAGGCAGCTAGCATTTAGTAGAGGTGCAATATTCCGTGAAATCTGGTTTTGAGAAATTATGCGTTATTTTCCATCTCACCTTAGAGCTGCAAAGTAGGATGCTCTGTTTCTGTTCTGATGTACTGAAGATCTGTCAATTCATGTATTTAGTTTAAAAGTCTGTAAGTTGCCGGAGACTTGATATTTGCCTCGCTTAGTTTACCTTTGCAGCGGAGCTCTTCTACGTCTCTTTACTTAGTCTCTTACGTTGATATTTGTGTAGCGCGTTTCGTCGATAACTAGAGATTTTGTTTTGCTTTGTGCTTTTGTTCAGGAGCTGCTAAACTGCATAAAGCTCCTGTACTTTATGATTCGGTAATCAGTCAATCGCATAAAATCATTTATGCAGTAAAATGAAAAGCACCGAAAGTGGGTCGGTGCTGATAGCGACTACTCTTAGAAAGAATACTGCCCGCATTCGCATTTTACCTAGATACACGCACGTTTTTGACGAGGCAACCTGGAGGCGATCCAGGCTCCGTTATGTGGATCATAAATTTTCTTTCTGCATTTTTGTTAGAAGCCCGTAAACTTACATCAGCATATGTACGGGCTTTTAGCAGTTGTCCATCGGTAGTTGCGAACATCAATATATGAATTTCTAAGAAGCGTTTCAGTGTAACATTGCTCAAATTCTGCCATTTTAATGACAACGTAGTGTGTTTCACTAGAAATATTTAATGAATGCAAAGTAATCATGAATTAGCATTCCACTCAGTATTGCATGCATGAAGGTCTTTAAGGCGACCGTACTTATTTTCACACGCATAATGCAATATATTTTTGTAACGCTTGTTGTTACGGTCGTTTTTTAATCTAGACGAGGGTACAGAGAATCGAATTACTTCTGAAAACGAGTAAATAACAGACAGATGATGCGTAAAGAAAGGTTTAAATCAGAATGGAACTGCTGTTTGTATTTTGCTTTATTACTGCCTGAATTGTACATCATTAAGAATAAGAAAAGAGGTAAGTTTGAGCTACTGCCAAATGCTTGTTCGCACGTTGAATTCAGATATTTGAAGTTGGATGTGACTAAATTTTATGTAGGTGGTTATTTTTGTGCGTACGGTACAAAGATGCATGGCACTTAACCAGCTGCTTGTCGAGCAGAATTTTCCTAGTATTGCTATCCATCGAAACATGCCACAAGAGGAAAGGTAAGTCGTAACAGCAACTACAAATATAAATTTGCAATAAATTACCTCAGGTTGGCACGCTACCAGCAGTTCAAGGACTTTCAGAAAAGAATTCTTGTGGCAACCAATCTATTTGGAAGAGGAATGGATATTGAACGAGTGAACATTGTTTTCAATTACGACATGCCAGAGGATTCAGACACTTATCTTCATCGAGTAAGTCACCCTAGGGTAGTAATTTTTCGTAACAACTGATTTCGTTTAGGTTGCTCGCGCTGGCCGATTTGGCACCAAAGGTCTCGCTATCACATTCGTCAGTGACGAAAATGATGCCAGGGTGTTGAATGAAGTACAGGATCGCTTTGACGTAAATATCGGAGAACTTCCAGACGAAATTGAAGTCTCTTCTTACAGTGAGTTGTATTGTCATGTATATTGGATATGCTTGCTGTGACCGTTATTTAATTTAGTTGAAGGACGATAAGATTTTTGCTGATTCAGCCTACGACGTCGAATACATTGCCCACCGGATACTGCTGTAACCTACAAAAATGTAGAAGCTATGTCAGTTTTTATTATGCGTTTGGTATGTAATCGAAAAATAAAATAGCCTATCGTGGAACTCGTATTCGTCACGGAAATTTTGTTCATGGAAATTCTTTATAAATACTATCAGGAAACAAGTGCATGCACTGTGCTAAACAGAGACTCCTTAAATATGACAGAAAACGAAAATGCGAATTTAAATGCCTTCTGCGTTTCGACTGGTGTCGCGTAATTACTTTCAGATACGGAATGATTTCAAGACTAATTTCTCTTCGACAAGACCATAGTGGTGAATACAGGCTGTTGCCGACCTGAGCTTTGTCTTCTCCAGAAATGGCAGAGTTCTGATCAATTCCTGTTAGCTCTTCAATCTTAGCTTCAAGTGTCTTCATACAAGCGATTAAGCCCCGCTGGGCATGAGCACAGTTATATGGTGTAGTAGATTCAGCTTCGTTGGCTTCTAAACGTCCGCGCAACATCGAAACGAAACTACGGCAGTCATAACATTCGATAGCTTTGAACAAGTCTTCCACACGTTTGACAGCCGTAGTTTCTGTTCTTTCCTGGCAAAGATCTGCCTTAGTACTAATTCGCTTCCTTCTGCGGTTCTTGAAAGTGTAAAGCATGAACTGCAGTGTCAACAAGCATCTCCTCCAGTCGTAGCTGCATTCTCTAAGAAAACGCATTAGTAGCTGCGGTGGAAATCGCTGATTCAACGTCAGCAAAATAAGGTTTAGATGTCGAAACATCGTTTCTTTCGGGAACGCGGAAAGATTAAAAGATTGACATGACATGGTTTTCATCTGCATTTGAACCAGTCTGCAGGCTGAAACAATGTATAGAGAGAGTAACCACTGCATCTTACGCTTACGCGACGAGGTAAAGACAATGGGCACTAACGAGTTTGATGCAATTCTTTTTGCGGCTGACCAAAAGTTCTCGTCTTCAACGAATATTACATCAACCTAAATGAATCGAAAGTCGTTTAAAAGCAACCGGCAAAGTGCGGTCACAAACTTTATGCACGAATATAAAGCCACATGGACTGGCTAAACCAGGAATCCCACTTAACCTTAACTTATATCGAAAGTATTGAGTATCTTCAAAGAAAATATCGGAGATCAACCGTTTCCCACAAAAAAATTTAAATGTACTCTGTAACATCTATAACGCAAAACTTAGTCTAGAGCAGTGGTGAAGTTTGCGTTATCGATGGCTAATAATATCGAATAAGAGAAAACTGAATTTAAGCATAAGCTCAAGGCCTTTACAGAAATTCGGAATAACTAACGCTACGGAGTGAAATTTTCTTTTGAAACTCATTACCAAGCCAAATGCAACAACGGCAAAGATTAAGAATACGTTATAAAGCCGCAAATAGCAAATTTACCAACTACGAAATCTTCGCAACCTTAACATGGTATTCCCTTTTGACTGACAGTACAAAGACATTTCAAGTTTTCATTTCTGTTTCATCATATTACCATTTTAGTGATGCGTTTTAACGATCTCCTTCAACGTGGTTTTCAGTTCTTGGAAAACTGTCCATTTACGTAACACACCGATCTCACAAAGAGTTGAACTTTCAAGTTCATTTTCAATACTTTACATCTTCATTCTCCATGAGTGCTACTCCTTTCGAATCGTGGATGTAGACGCGCCAGACAGTGCTTCAAAGGTTCCTGATCCAGGGCCAGATTCTTAGCTTCAGCAGAAAACAACTGGAGTCTGGAACAGGTTCTGTTCATATATCTGCAGCAGTTTAATCTTGGTGGCCCATGGGCCTTCTGCGGGCGGCTTGGCCAGTAGTTGCTTCGCCTTCCTTTTCTGGAGGCATTAGCAATACGTGCCCAAACCATCCCAGAGGTCGATTTTGTTCAATGCATGCCCGTGTAATTTAAACTATCCACCACTTCAGAAACAAGTTCTTTATGTTTGCCAAAGACACTAAGTTACTGTAAATAGAGCGATAATTTAACGTTTAAATTAATTACACAGTGCTGGGATATGCCTACGGTAAATTAGATCTACACATGGCCTCTAGAAGTCGCATTTGCATACAATAACATCGATTTTGTCTTTAAGATCGACGTGAAGCTGATCGAAACGTTTGCATTTAAGTAAAACTATGTTTATTACTTCTAAGTGTTGCTAACCAGGAAAACTAAAAGCATCGTGATGTTCAACTTACAATAACATACGTACATAATTCATATTAAAAACAGCACAAGTTTTTCAAGAAGACGACGACAATGCTACGAAATTTCAGGAACGGGAAAATGCACATAATCTTTACATACAATCATAAACGAAAACTGACATTTCAGACAACTCAGTTCGCATTCAGAGTTAAAACGAGTTTTGTACAGTCATTATCATGCGGGTTGAGTTGGCTCACGTCAATGATGGTACCATGCTAGTCGCTAGTACTAAGCAAAGTTTTCCGATTTGTGCCGTTGACATATGCATCAAGGTTATGTAACTGGTTGCCCGAATCAAGAACACTTCCTTGAATTTACGGGCAAAATTACTTATCCGTAGGACTTTCATCTTTCTTCTCACGAAATATGCAGGGCCGATGGGTCAGAGCATGGTACAATATAGCGGAACTTTGACCAGTCCGTTTTGGTAAATTTTGGTCCTTCATTTGTCGAAGGAGCTGCCTACTTCCTTGAGACCTTTTACCCTGGAATCAGTATATTTCCACCTGACAACACTTCTATTTAGTTCGATCTTCCATTCCTCAAAGGTGTTGCCGGTTTAACTGGTGTACGCTGAGCAATATGAGCATACACCCAACCCTGCTTCTCCGGTCTCTCAGCCGTCAAATGGTAGAGGCGACTGCGAAGGATTCAGGCCGGCTTAGATGGAATATGCCATAACTTTTTGGTCAGTTTACGACCATATATAGTGGTAGAGAATTTACCCCGTTGGGTGAGTGGTGAGAAACAGGTTGTCGCGATAAGTTGGTCAGATCTTTATTTAGCGTCATCACCCGGAAACTATTTGCAAAGTCAGTTTGAAGTGATTTAGTTCTTTGCGACAATCACTTTCGGTGTTTTCCGGATTTTCGGTCCTTTTGAAGATGCGTTTTGACAACGTTTTTTGGCTTTCTGTGTGAGAAGGGGTATGATGCAGAGATAGATCGTATATTTTTTTAAACAATGATTGTAAGTAAATATTTTATGCATATTAATATTTTATTTTTTTGTGACATTCCGCAGTACACTACATATATCGTGTATTAAAAATGCGTTCGATAGAGTATGCTCGTAGGCACAAAACTCGATCAAAACACGTTTCATGGCAATACGGCACCACCGCTCTCATGTTCAAGATATCAGGTCACAAAGAACTCACAAGGCGAGAAGTTCGCAGCATCACATGACATGCAGCTGAGAAGTAAACTTTAGCGTCAGAGAATAAGCGAACATTGAACCTGCGATATTGTCCGGCCTCTGAATCCGGCATTTAGAGCGTGTCTGACTGACGTGCATGACAGAGTCAGTCAAAAACAAATGCCATCACAAAATGAAATGAATAGCTCACAATAGGAACCGAATGAATATTCAAACACTTATTTACGTAATCCAATCTCGTTTTCGACCGCATATGGCTAACTTGTTTAGGAACTGTCAACAACAGATTTTAAAGACATAACCAACGTCTTCTTTTGACGCGCTTGGACGTGCGAAACAAGTCTGAAAAATAGGAACAGTGTCGTCCACCACCAAAAAAGGTCATGTACATTTGAGGTAGCCAAGGCTAGCCTTCGCACTAATCCAGCAGCGCCTGATTAAATAATCAGCCAGTTTGACACAAGTTTATAAAAAAGAGTCTTAGTAGCCGTCACTCAAAATACTTACGTCATCGAATAGCAGAAGGGATACACGGGAGAACGGAATTTCTTCCGTTTGAATCATTTTTTTACGTGTTGTTGATGTTGACCTAAATGTGTTGACGGAATGCTGCTTTCTTTTCACGCACTTTGTACATGCGATTGTGGCTCGAGCACCATCTTTCTTGAAGTATGATCGAATATCACCCTTTCGTGTCGCTCGATGGTGGCTGGCACAGTTCGAAACGTTAACTACTTTCAGTTTCTTCAAAGTCCGGCCATCTTAAAATCGCAAGTAAGCATGCATGAAGTATAGCCTTAAGCGCTCTACCTCGCGTAGCACTCGATACCGCGTTCCTCAGAACACAGCGGAAGCTTTGCGTCGCCTCTGCAACGGCTTGATCTATGCTACGCTGATTTCGATGACAGGACGTGTTTATTTCGATCACCTAAACGCCGTCCAATCATCATCGCAATCGAACTGCATAGCAAAATCGAATTAAAAAATACCTAAATAAATGCAAGATTAGAACCGTCTCCAACTCTTACAACCAAAACCTTTGTTCGACCTTCGAGAACTGAAGAGACAATACATCACTCCGTGCTGCTGTTGAACACACAGAACGCCAAACAAAATAATACAGGTGGTTACAAACTTGGCACGCTGCGCTGTAAGAAAAGGAGTACCACACGAAGATCTGGAGGCAGAAGCAACAAGAGAATCAAACAGGAAATACCATCTCCGATGGACACGAAAACGAAATTTCCTAACAACATCACACGACGGTTTGAACAGATCCCGGTGATAATTACTGATGTTGAAACTGAGTGGCAGCTCTTTAAGAGCGACAAACTCGACAATGCCGCCGAATGCTGCGGATATAAATGGCTAGGCCTGGCGCCTAGAGGTCAGCAAAGATCTTCATGGTGGACACGAGAGGTACCACTGGCAGTTAAAGAGAAA